TATCATTCAAGAATTTTAATAAATTTACTCTTAGCAACTCAACTGTTATTCAATAACCCAGAGTCTACCCTGTATGTGGATTAGACTATATCACTTGCTGATTTACAGTGTTGCACCAGGCAAAGTCCCATCTTCATTACTTAATGATGGTGTCTAGGTTAACTCAGATATTGGTTATGGAATAATCTACAGAAGCAGAAACTTCAGAAATAAAGCTTAGTTTTGCTGGAAATACTTGTCAAAAGCAGAAAGGGGAAGTCAGGCTGATTATCTGCAGAAGTCATTGACTGTTTGCAAGAATCAGTGGTTGTCTCAAACGTGACAAGAACTGGAGTCTAGCATTTATATTTTAGTTTCCTTTGCTTTCTGGTTCCTTGTTGCACACTTACCAAGTGCTGGGTTAGCAAATGCTTGGCACATCCTGTTCTCTGCATGTGGTTAGAGTGTTGATGGGGGCAACTAGCTTATAGAAAATGCTGCTGCTGGTTAGGATCTGGGTGGTGGTGGTGCTGATGGGGGGTATTTAGCCCACGACTCACTTTAATTCAACTTAATTTAATTCCGTTTAACTTTATCATAAAAATTGTCCCTCTGCTTAGAATATCTTTTCTCTTAACCTCTTTTAATAGCCCTCTGTTTTGCCAGCACAAGTATCTTTTCTCCAACAAAAAAATGCGTCATTGTTTAATTGAAGGTTCATGCCCCTTAGTGTCTTACTCCTATCACATTTTCTTTTAAGTGTGTTCCTGTCCATATATTTTTATTTCTTTACCTGATTTTGCAGTCAGCTGCTTTGGGGATATTATAATTAGAAGGAAATCAGAAAATATGTATTTACTGAGCTCATTTATTATAGGGAGGCCACATATATACAGTGTTTTATGTTCACCAAGATAATGTCTGTCAATAGCTAGATTTATAAACTTGGAGAAAATATATACATTCTGAACCTCTGCATTATATTCATAAAATTTATACAAGTGTGTGTGTATAGATGTATATAATAGTCCCACTTACATTTTGCACTATGAATATTAGATATTATATTTAAGAATAAAAATCATGAGTCTGTGACTGCCATAAGAAATGATTATTTGGATATAGACAAAAATATTAAAAGTGGGATGAAGTTTGTGTTTATGCATTTACTATTGTTTTAGTTTTTTGAGGAAAACTAAACTTCTTGTGGTCTCGGGGCAGAGCTTCAAAGCTTTGAGTAGTATAAGGTTTAAAAATGGTTGTATGCAGCACACTCCTGTAGAATCTTTTCTTTTTTAATTTATCATATAACCAAAATATAATGAAAATGAAGTGGACATATTTTTTTAAATGCTGTGATACATATTACTGATTGTATTGTACCTCCTCAGCAGTACCAGGGTGAACTCAGGCAGCAAAAACAAGAGGACCCTCCCCTAACCCACTGGCCTTCCACTCTATATAGCTTTACCTGACCACCCAGCACCACCCCTCATCTCCAGAAGCTACTGCAAGGTATCTTCAAGTAATGAGCTCAGGGAACATGGTCCCTCCCCTGCACAAGGGGTGGTTGAATTTAGGAAAATATAATTAATTTTCTAATAAAATTATTAGATTTTATATCACAAATAAATGTGCTGAAAATTATGTTAGAATATACTGATAAAAGAATTATAGACTGGGATAATAAAGGAAGATAATTAACTGGCAATTTTCAAAATGTATGTTAACTTTGCAGTAAATTATTTCCACTCCTAGAAAAAGTATGTCAACAATATTCAGGAAAATATATTTGTAGCCACATACACATATTTTATTACCATTTGAGTGAAAGAAAAAGTGACCATCCCAAATATTCAGTTGTAAGATTTATGAAAATACATACATAATGGATTTTAATATGCATATACATACTAAGAGCTTTGAGGTGTTTAAGCTAGTTCCAGAACTTGACTGTGTGAGGAAATTTTTTTAATGTTATAGGAAAAAATAGCATGTATTAGGAGGAAAAACTACACTTATGTTTAATTGCAATTAAATTTGATAAAATGCTAACCAATACTTCCATTAAAGTTATTACTATAGAATTACATGCTTTCTTGAAAGAAACATGAATAATTGAATCTAGAGGTGCTATTAGTGAACCCTTTTGGTAGTTACGTTTTTCTGATAAACTATATTGTCTTCATTTTTCTTAGTATATATAGCATAAAATATAGAGCTATAAATTGATTCTCCTTATTAAACTATTTGAAGGTCCTATACGATAATGGAATTAAATGATTATAAACCATAAAAAAATACTCTCCATGATTTTGTGGAATGAAATGGCAATAAATTCAATACTGAAAATATATATGTAACTTTGAAGGAAGAAACTGAAACAATTTCTGTGACGTGCACAGTAAATATTTAACTGTGTAAACACCTAAGAAAGCCAGTATGTTTTCACAACATTTAAGATTTTGAACTCTTGAGGCTGATCAATATACTGTTTCCTTAGAAGTACATCTTTGGAAGTTATAACCCACCAACTCAAATCTTCATTTGTACAAAGAAGTGAAGCTAATTCTTTCCTCATAGATTTGTTCTGAACATGATATGTTTTATACACACACATACATGTATATACACATATGTATATACACGTATATATATATATATGAACAGATATGTTATGTACACACACTCACATATGTTTAGATATATATATATAGAGAGAGAGAGAGAGAGAGTATCATCTCATGTGTGATATGTTGTCAGTACAGGTTATCTAACATTATGATATATTATAGTTACTTAAGATAATTTTGGGGCCTCCCTGGTGGCTTAGAGGTTAAGGCTCAGTGCTATCACAGCTTTGGCCTGAGTTCAATTCCCGACCAGGGAGTGAACCACACATGGTGCTTCAGTCCTCTCCTGCCTTGCCTGCTGTTCCCATTAACAGTGTATTTCAGTAAATTTATTTGTTCTGCTCCTCATTCCATATGGGTTGGATCCTTTCATCCCCAGGGCCCCTAACCCACACACCAGTTCTTCTACACAATAAAAAAAAAAATTAAGTAAAATATTATTTTGGAGATGTTTATTTTCACCTTCATAAGAAATAAACCAGAGCATGAAGTAAGCTGTGTAATTAGAAGTGGAAATAATATCTTGCCATCCATTATTTGACTTTGCTAGTGAGACTGCAAAAAAAACCTGAAGCATTAATAGCTATCTGATTGCTGGTTGATTACTGTTCATTCGTGGAAATCTGAAGACCAGAGAGAAATATTAATGTTTTTAGTAGTGGGGCATTACAATTTGTTTCAACAAGAAGAATGTGAAATATGCTAACCAACATTTAAGAGTTTCAAACTTTCCATGCCCTCGTTTCAGCGGCAAATTTTATTAGCACTCCAGATCTGATATTTATTCTAATATTTTTAAAAAAATAAAACATTATTTTTTTTTCAAAGGCCTATTTATTTATGCATATAAGGACGAGGATGTAGGCCAGAGATGTGGGGGTGGGAGGACCGGTGAGAAGATTTACCAGAGACAGCATACTGCTGAGGGAAGCAGGGGGTGAGACAGAAGAGGTGTGCCATGTGGGTCAGCTCCCTAGATGGCCAGTTTTCAAACTCATGCTCCATTAATTGGTGATAACTTGATAGTGCTGTGTCTTTAACCCCTATGCCACAAAGGAGGCCCAAGAAATTATTTTCATTAGTATTTACATATGCTTTCCCCTTTCATATAGAGCTAGTTTGTACTGATCTTCAAAGTGCATTTTACATGATTTATATTATATTTTCCCAGAAGTCTTTCCTGGTTAGCTGCTCTCTTATGTGTTCCAATTAATAATTTTAATTTTCCCCTGTCATTTACAATTTAGACTACACTGGCAATTGTCATTTTCTTTGTCCACATTCCTCTCTACACACAACCACACACACTCACACACACACATTCATAAACATTCACATGCATGTACATACATGAGTTCCTCACTTATTCTGTGAATAGTATCTTAGCATAGTAATAATCTTTGTGTACCCAGTACTTTCACATTTGTAAAAGGACAAAACCTGTCTTGTGACAAAGACCTTATGAAAAAATTAAGTATATGTGTGTTTCTGAGATAAATGTTGTTTTAGCATTTATTTCAAATTTCATTGTAATTTGAATGATATTTACTATATTTAGTAACTGATTATTATATATATTGATTCTTCTGCTACCTCTTTAATAGCAGTAGAGAGTCTTAGATGTGATTGGAAAGGAGGCCTTTTCAGTAGGTTTCCTTCCCTACAAACCAACAATGAACCCCGCCCTACATTCTTTTCTGGGTCTACTCCCAAGTTTATCCCCATTCCCAGCATTCAAGCCTGTCCATATCTTCTAGATACATCAATTTAAATCATATATTTTGCTTTCAAATTTTAAGAACTTTGGGAAAAAGTGGTATGAAGTCATGGAAAATGCGTAATTTCTAAGAGGTACCTGATGGCTTGTTAGTTGTGCTGGAACATCTCTCTAGTCTGTATAATACTTAATGCAAAATGAACCCTATTATAAAAACTTTTTTTTTTCATTTTTCCTCATTAGGTGGCAGACTAAAATATTAAACATCCTAGTAATTAAGGTTTCAATTAATTTACATTTCTTTAAATGTGAGGCTGTGATTATGACTAAAGTGGCTGTACCCAAGTGGAAAGTTTTTTTTTTAAAGATTTATTTATTTATGCAAACAGAACTGGGGTATAGGCCAGAGACGCAGGGGCAATAAGAGGATTCACTAGAGATAGCGTGGGGAGCAGAACAGGCAGATCCAGGAAGTACGCTGCTGAGGGGAGCAGCTGGCGAGTCAGGAGAGGTCTGCCACGCCATGTGGTCACCTCCGGGCTGCAGATCGAACTTGCACTGAAGCGGCTGCAGCTAGTTTGTAGTGCTGTGCTCTAACTTGTTGTGCCACCAGGGAGGGCCACCAAGTGGACACATCTGGGGGACTCTCATGGCTTTTCTTTCTGTGTTAGACAGGACTATGAAGAACTGGAAAGGCAGCTGAAAGAAGTGTTTAAGGAACGAAGCACCATCTTGTATCAGCTGGCAAGGACATCAAAAGAACTTGATGGAATTAAAAACAACCTTAGGGTAAGATGAAAACTAATTTCCCCGGCAGTAAAGGATAAAGAGTCGCCTGGTTTGTCTTGTAGATTAACATGTAAAAACTATTTTTTAACCAATTTTAAATATATTTCTAGGTTTGACCTTAGTAGATATTTATTATCATGTAAATCTGGAAAAGAAATATAATTTGAAAGGCAGCCTGGTAATTTCTGTTTTGCAAATTCACAAATGAGAAATTATTTGCTTGGCAAAGCCTTCATTTTTTCACAGCTTCTAAGATCAATTTGACCCCTGTGTGTGTGTGTGTGTGCATGTGTATGTATCTGAGAGAGTTTATATGATGAAATGATAAAAAGTAATTATGACCAATCTTAAGTGAAAATAGTGAATGTGAATCTAGTAGTGATCTCTATAAAATGATTTTAAATTCCAAAAAGATAATTTAAGTAAGCCATTACTAAAATGATCAAATGTATGAGAAAGGAGAGTATTCTATATTTTAACAGTAAAATCTCAATCAAAAACCAAAGGCCAGATTTGCATCTGATAAAAAAAAATACTCTGAAAAATCTCAAAGTATATTTTAATATTTGGCTTAAATATTATGTTTACTCAGTGCATATTGTATACTAAAAGCTTTGCATATGTTATAGGATTTAGTTTTCATACTATGTCTATGAGATAAATACTGTCAACACAATTGTTTTTGTAACTTGTGTGGAATTATTCTTTAAGCTAAATAAGTTTTAAATGTCATAAAAGAAGTCAGAACTTTCCTGCAGGCGATCTGTTTCTTATTACATGGAACCATGTTTCTGAACCATCATGGATATCTCACCATTATCCTTAGGCGATGTTGATGTTAGTATCTCTAATTTACAGAATATTGCCAAATTCTTGTGCTAGGCACTATTTCTGCAATTTTCATTTAATTTTTACATAATAGCAATGTATTAGAGTTAGAAAAATAAGAAAAAAAATGTTTGAACACGTCGAGGTAGTTCAGGGGCAAATCTGATATTTGAACCCAAAAACCCAGGCTTTTGTTCCAAGAGTGTGTTGTGTCTTGAAAAACATGAAAACAGCAACCACAGCAAAATGACCCACCATGGGGGATGGGAGAGAGGTAGTGGGCTGCTGTATACATTGTGGGAGCAACAGCACCATGGAGTCAGTGTGCACAGAGCATTAGGGAGCCCTGACTAGCAGGAAAGTGGGTGCAAATCAGCCTGTTTCATAGGAAGCTACAGCCCGAGCCGCAATAGCTCTTGAGTGGGAAGGCATCAAGTATGTGCAGATGCAAAGCATATTCAAGACACCTGCATCTTCTCAGATGCAGAGCACCTGGCCTACGGAGACCATTTCAAACACACGGTGAAATGCCCATGAGTGACTGGTGTTTACAATATTTCTGGGACACTCAGTCTCTATGCTAGTAGCATAAGGCATAAAATCAGTCTAAAAAGATGCTTGATAAAATGTGTAATTTCAAAAACTAGTATTTTTGACAGACTTACAATCCTACCACTAAAAGTAGTTACATTTTTCAACTACTCTTTGTTTATTTCTTGCCACACATAGAACATAGTATTTTTTTATCTTTCTGTTTATAGCATGTCAAGTGTTTACATGTTGTTATAATTTTAGGGCCATTTATGCATATAAGAACATGAACAATTATGCAAAAAAGGCCAGAGATATGAGGCTTGGGATGGGGATTGAGAAGAGTCACCCAAGAAGGAATGGGATGCTGAGCACGCAGATGTACTAAGTGCAGTGCTGAGGGGAGCAGAGAGGAGGACAGGAGAGGTCTGTGGTGCCGTGTGGGTCAGCTCCTTGGCCAGCCTGGGATGGAACTCCTGCTACAGTGTCTGCAAATAGCTTGATAGCACTCACTTTAATCCCTGTACCACCAGGGAGGCCCCGGTTTCAACTTTTGATATCAAGAAAGGTTACCCTCTTAAAAACTTTGTTGAATACAAATCAGAAAGTACTTAGGGAAAGCTTAACAGGACTGATTCTCTAATGAGAAAAACTCCACGGCCGTTTCTGTTTTACTAGTTAGCCAATGTTCAATTTGCCAAAGTAAATAAATACTAATCACTGAGATAGTATACTTTTTCCCCTTCGTCTCAGTTACAGTTACAGTTTTGCATGGCTCAAGTTTTTCTGTGAATTCTAATGCATTATTCATACCTAATAAATAGACAAGACCAAAGAAGTGCATGTCATTTGACTGTTTTGATCTGCAGTTGTGCATTGTTTAGCATATGCTACTCACAGGAGACACTTATATCCCCATGTATTTGTAGAAACTATGCCAGAGCAGGTTTAACATGCCTGCAGAAAACACAGTAAAACTTCAGATGGAACATAGAAATATGTCTTATATTCACGTACAAGGAGCCCTAGACATTTGGACAATGCACACTCATTCATGAAGCCTCTGGAAGTTGAGTCCAAGCTCATTCCCTTTCTCATACCACGGAACCCAATGATATTAGCTGTGGAGTTAGCAATTCCTGTGAGCACCCATAGAGCTCAAGGGCTCTGTGGCCCTATTTTTGTATTTTCCTGTCCCAGGGCCAAAAGTGAGCTTCTGGTTATCAACTAAGTAAGACTTCCTTTTTCTACTTCTCTTATCAGTCTTTGAAAAATGAAGAGAAATATTCTAAAACTAATGTTGAGAAGCTTCTGGAAATAGGTGAGAAACAAAGGTAAGACTCTGTTTTCCTCTTATTTTCTCCTTTTTTTCTAGAGTGTCAGACTTTGATTAAAGAACTTCAGAAGAATCTGTTCACTCAAAATACACTTGTATGTATATATGTATGTAGTATGGCATATTCTTGCACAGTAACTCCAGGATAGAGCTTGAGATTCTGGATTTCTAACAAATTTCCTGATGAAGGTGATGCATGGTGTAGGTTATTATTTGAGTGGTAAGAATCTGGCATATTTCCCACTATAGATCTACCCATCAAATGGACAAATGGAAAAACATTGACTTGAGTGGATTATTTTAATAGTGTCAGAACTTGATCATGATGATAATGGTTGGGGTGGTTAGGAGTGTGGTGATCTCATTAAACTGCAATTATATCTAGTACCTACAGTAGCAAAGAATTGCTATTTTTGAAGGAAGTAGTATTTTTTTTTAAGATTTATTTATTTGTGCATAGAACAGGCAGATCGATGAAGTACACTGCTAAGGGGAGCAGCAGGCGGGTCAGGAGAGGTCTGCCGTGCCATGTGGTCACCTCCGGGGCAGGCGGGAATCGAACTCAGGCAGAAGTGGCTTTAGATTCTCAGTGCTGTACTTTAACCCGCTGCACCACCAGGGAGGGCCCGAAGGAAGTATTTTATGAGATTCATTGTGTACACTGCAAAAGGTTATGTTATGTGAAATTGCCAGTCAAAGAAAAAAGCCATTTTACTGTACAATTTTGCCAAGTGCTTTATATTCATATTTTATTAATCCTTGCAAGTTACTTATGAAGTAGATATTATTGTCCCCATTTAATAGATAGGAAATTGCTCATCAACATGCTTAAAATAACTGCTGAGAACTGCCTTAATAGGAGCTGGATTGCTCTTATCCATTAGCCATACTCTTCTGTGTTAGTTCACTGATCACAAAAAAAAAAAAAAATGTTTAAGAATTTATAGCTATGATCTATCAATGTATAGTCTCTTTTTCCATGCTGTTTCTCTTCCTCTGTCCCAGAGAGCTGTCATCAGTATTACTATTATTATGCTTCATTTATATTTGATAATAATAGTATAATTATTCATCATTGACATTTATAACTATCAAAATTGTATATTCTCCCTATATTACTTGTTCACACAAGGCATATTACTTGTTGAACATGAAATAATACTCTCCTAAGTTCAATAATAAAAAGTGCTCATCTAAATATTGGTCTGGCATATTTTAAAAACATATCATTTTCAATTATTTTATTGACTTGAAATGAGGCACCTGTTAAAACATCTAGTACAAATATCTGTGGTTCACAGAGTTCATGATAAAGAATTACAAGCAATACTTGCGGAGGCATCACTGGTTAAAGTAGGAATATTGGAAATGGTTACTTTTCTGTAGCGTATTCCATGTTGAACAAGAATAAACAAAATCATAAAGCTAATTACAACCTCACAATGCATGTCACCACCCAGAGAGATAGTGAAGGAAACAGGGAATATCAGAAAATAAATTATGCCACCACAGCAGAGAGAAACACTCAAATGTTGAGCCAGAGTATTGTATTGTTATTTCTTAAGTGACTGTTTTCCAGGCACTGTGCAAATCATATAGTCCATTGTAGACATGCGTATTAAGCCGAGTTACCTACATAGCATCATTGAAACCCTATTACAATCCTATGACCTATAACATAGTTCTGTTATTGTGCCCATTGTTTATGAGGAGAAAATATGTGTCTACAACAGTTATCTTCTGTCTCCTACTCCCTATTTTGTGGATGTCCAGCAGGGGTTTTTGGTTTGCTTGTTTTTTGTATTGTTAGGGATTTTAAATTTGTTTGGGTACTGCTAAGCTGGAAAAGTTGACCACCTATTGCTGTTTCATTGAATGAGTTTATTTCTTACCCAAGATTTTTATTCTCTCTCTCTCTCTCTCTCTTAAGAACACACACACACACATAAACACATATACACGTGTAGCTTAACCCTTATCCAATAACTGAGTTTTTTGAAGGGATACCCTAATGATAAAATCAAGACACAGAAAGATGTGATTTACATAAATCCTAAACCCTTGAGGGAAAGCAACTTTATGGAACTCTTTCAATGCTTAGGAAGTGAGGCAGGGCCCGTAAGTATCAGAGCTCAAGACATGATATGTGTATATATGCAGGTAGAATTATTTTATTATCCTCAATAAATTAGACAGCCTTTGATTTAGAAAAAAGTCTCTTTTCTCAGCTTTTTTTAACATAAATTCTCAGGCTTTATAAAGGATGTCTAGCACAGTGCATTAGAATTAATCAATTAGTGACATGGGAAAGGAACAGTAATTTCATCCTATCAGTAAGTCTGTGGTGACTTTTCCGAACCAGCAGGTTCACACCTTGGCATGCTGCCATTAAAATTAGCTTTGTGACTTGAATTATTATATTGATTTGATTTAGCACTTTATACATCTCCCAGATGATTCACACAGTGGGATTCTTATGAAACACAACAGTAAGGCAATTTCCTTTGAATGCAGGTTGCTTTTAGTACTTGCATGGGAAGAAAGTCCTTTATTATCAGAATCTGATATTCATCCTGTATGCTTCTCTGTGCCTCTATGCCATTCTCACTATTTTGTTGATGCATGCAGACAGCAAAAACTTCTTTCATAATGTGCATAGAAATAATTGAATTAAATTATGTCTCTCTTTTTCTCTCTATTTTCAACTGAACTAGAGAACAAATGAAGACTCTCCAGGAGACCCTGCAAAGTCAACTTAAAGAGTCAAGTGAGAAAGCAAATAAACAACAGGTGACTGTAAGTATGTTTCTTTTTGTGTGTTTCCTTTGCTTTGGGACTGGGAAATTGTTAATTTTCTTTCCCAAAATCACCCTGGAGCAAATGCATAGGTAAAAAATAAAAATGAGTACAAACTAAAGAAAGCTCAGTCACTAAGGTCTTAAAAATACTTAAGTCAGCAACCATGGTAAGATAATTTTTCTATAGTATTTGATTGTTAGGGGTCTTCTAATTCTCTGTCCTGATTTATGAGTGAGGATTGAGCTCAGGATGAGCTCGTGACATGGTAGCTGACATCAGGCCCCACCACAGTAACCCTTGATTGTGAGATATTATTGACTTTGGACTAAATTAAGCCATGTAACCCCTAAACATGCACCTCAGCTCATATCTGGCATATAGTAAATACTAAATTAGTCAGTTTCATCTCCACCACTTATTAGCTGAATAAGAAAGCCATTTTATTTCTCTGAGGTTCTTATAAAATTGTATAAGTATTATATACTTGTTTAATTGATGATTATATAAAAGGTTGCAGGTGAAAACTTAGTATATAACCAATTGTAAGCAACTTCAAAATAGTATCAATTACTATCATTACCACTGTTACTATTTTATATGTATAGCATTTCAGTCTTGGATCTCCCTGGTGGCACAGGAGTTAGTTTCAGTACTATAAAACTATGGTCAACCATTATGGCATGAGTTTGATCCCTGGCCAGAGAAGTGGCCCACATGGTGCAGCAGACTTCTCTTTATACCCACTGTTCCCTTCAACAGGATGATCTATTTCTTCATCTCCATTTATATTGCTACTCAAAATAATATTGTTTTGCTATTTATGAATAGTATAACATGAATTAACATCTGCTATGAAAAGTTAACTTTGTCTGAGATTTACTTCAAGTTTCTGGGTAGTTAGAAACATTTTTGTTGTAGGAATCAGACATTTTAGATATCAGTTTATCCAGGTTAATCTTGGCTTCATTTACACTATTACTAACATTTACTAGGTAATTGTGGTAACCTTTTTTTTGTTAGCTTGCATTTTATTAGCTACAGGCTCAGTTTTTTTTTTTACTTATTATTAATTTCAATTTAGTTTGCTTAATATTCTCAAAATCATATACCTATATGTATCTCTTATATATTACTACATGACTACATATGTACATGTATGGGTGTACTGATGAGTGTGTGTATATGAGTATATATACATATACATATACATATATATACACACATATATATGTGTGTGTATGTGTGTGTGTGTATATATATATGTATATATATATATATAAATATAAAGAGAAAAAGAAAAGGGAGAGGCAGAATATATTTCAGTTCAGAATTCTACTTTATTCCTTATTTTTGTAGAAATTTATTTTTTTAGAAACAAAAAATGGCATTTATTGTGGAAACTTTCAATTAGAAATGGATACTGATATATTTAGGTAATATCTAAAAATTATACCTAAATCCTCCCTCTCTTGAAATGAAAAATTGCAGTCACCTGTTTCCACATCTGATGGTCAAGTTAGAAAATGTATATGTTTCTGTAGGAAGACTCATTGTAAAGACCAAAACCTCTAAATGACAAACTTCAAAACATGTCTTTGCTGAGCTGGCCCAGGATGTGAATGAGAAGGAACTACTTAGATCTTTGGTCTTTGCTACGAGAAGATATGAAAGGAGATGAGAGAGTAGAGAATGAAGAATAGATGAGAGTAAATTTTAGAAAGCTTTCAAGTCAGAAGTCTTGTTTTTCCAGTGGGAATCTCACCTTATATGGTTGCAGAGAATGATCCACTTGTGATATTCTGGGACAAAAGACAGACAAAACTTTAAATTGCTTCTGGTCAGAATACAGTAGACCTTTATTCCTACCCAGGGAAATGGACATCAGCTCTAGAAAATAGACTGGTTACCCCTTTCTTGCACAGATGATTTAGACAACTTAGTAAGAATTTTCTGAAACATTCTACAGAGCACAGCAGTCCACTCTTGGGTTCTTTTTCTAACTTCCAAGATTTAGTACCTTCAAATATGGGATCTTTCTGTTTAGTTATATAATAACATGTCACTTGTGTTATAATTTCATTGAAATATTTTCCATTAAGGGAAGTAAAAGGATGGCTACAGTTTTAAAAACCTGATACTAAAATCAGATATTTTAAAAAATAATCAAACATTAAAAAAAACTGATGGTAAAATAAACAAAAATACAATTATTTCTCTCTAGTCAATGTTATTAAATAATTAACAAGTGGGTAGCTTGTAACAATCTATTCAGAAAAATTGGAGACCAAACCAAAATATCAAGTAGACTCATTTTGGTATCTTCCCTCTAGTAAACTACTTATACATGTATAGTCACCTGTTTTTCCAAACTTTTTTATAAGTGGGAGTTAAAAATACCCTTCAATTGTTTTTTGCCATACCTAAGTCTTCCACCCCTACTAGATGGTGTTGTATAGAAATATATTTTAATCACATGTAGAACATAGACAATGCATAAATCTGTCATCAACTGATAAAAATGTTTAAGTATGTTAAACATGTTTAAGCATATATCCTTTTATGTTTATATGCTGTCAGAATTTCTACTCTAATCTGTTTCTTTCATGGTAAACTTGAATTCCTATATTTCTCTATTTAAAATGTATTGAAAATAACCACGTTTGACATGATGATTTTGTCAAAGGTTTGTATCATATACAACTATTTGACAAATACTAAGAATCAGGATGGCATGACAAAGCATCCTCTTTGTTCATCTATCATTATCAGAGCCACTTATTAAATGCATATTTGTGGAATTATTCGTCATATGACAAACCAGTATATTTTATTAACTGTCTCCTATAAATGCAACTAAGAACATACAGAATTAGGGAAATTTTGAGCCAGAGGAGTGACAAAAGTAAGCAGATACTCCAACACATGCAATCGTGAGTAACTCCTGAGAAGAAAGTAGACTTACAGGAATGAGTGAATGTCTGCTGGAAAGGAGTAACTGTCATAGAATGGGGCAAAGGACAGTGGTAGGATTAGTGAAAGGGCATGTGGAAGAATTTCTGTAAACTCTTCTGCCTTCACCCACTCTGCATTGGAAGTATCACTTGCCTTCCCTTCATTCTGGAAGTTGGTAGCAATAGATTGCATCTCTAATGTCTTTACTGTAACATCAAATAGAGAGTAGCCTTTTGATGTGAGGAGTTGAAAGAATCAGAAATGTTGATGATCCTCCCTTCAACTGCCCTTTGGACCTTCATCAGAATTGTGTGGTTCTAAGAGTGTCTGCCCTGGAACTTCCTTTCCTCACCAAGACAACTATATTTTCCTTGGTGTATTTCCTATACATATCCACACCCAGAGTAGGTAATATCCCAAAAAGAATATAAGCTATGAAGTAAAAGTAACAAGATAGTGGAGATATGAGCTGTACATTATTTAAAAGGAAAAAGTCACATTCTGAAGCAGAATTATTAGAATAAATTTACTAAGCACATAAAGTTGTAAAGACCACATACTTAGGATAAACAAGATAGGAAATATATAAATAGTGATATAAAATAAATAACTGACAGCCATATTAATGAATGGCAAACAGAATATAAGGAAATATAAGGGAAATATTTTATACTAGGAAAATAAAACTTGGATGTGGTTCCACAAATAATGTCATGTTATTCTAGATTTTAAATCAGAGCATTTTATAAGTTGACTGCTATTGGTTACATGTCTGAATAATAGACCCTTTCCATAGAAATAACAAAAGATACTGCAAATGCTCCCATCATTTGGAAAATCCATAGTAAAATGCTATGAAAAACAAAGGCCATACTGCTAAATAAATCACAAAAATACAAAAGAAGATAAGCTGAGAAATTAAATTCATAAAATCATAAAGCAGTCTTGAGCTCATTCTCTTTGAAAACGTGCTTTATGAACCCATAAACATTTGTTGTCTTCCCTAAGCCAGTAGTGAAGTGATATATCTTTCAAACCTGTATTCATGAAAATCCCTAACAGACAACAAGAAAGAATGAGCACTCAGGTATAGCCATAGTAATTAAAGTTATTAATGCTCATTCGATGTACTTCACTACTCTTGTTAATTTTTATGGCTTAACTTGCCTTAAGTGAGTCATAATTAGTCTAAAGGCAAGAATTAGCATCAAGCTTTGATTCTCATTAAGAAAAAAAAATTGCTATGTTCTTCCCTTCTTTGTTCAAACAAAGTACATGCATGGTATTTTCTGTCTTTAAGAACTATTTCATGATATTTGCTGGCAATTTTTTTTTCCAGTTATGTTAAATGCTGGGAATCTAGGCATATGTTCTCAAAATGTTAATATTTTTAAAATATTCTGAATATATTTTATTTGAATATTACATTCTTAAGTTTTCTATCCTTGGTTAACATTAAAACACGTTTTAAATATTCTTGACATTTTAAAATATTTTCATAACATTCTTAATTAAATTTAGTTGTTAATTATGTTAACATATACTTAACTATATAAAAATGTGAGGATTAGGAGAAAAGTTATCAGTGAAAGAGCAAGTTATTAGTATAGTCAAGATACAGTTCAAGACTTAAACTAAAAAATAAAAGTACAGCATAATCTACACTTTCTAGTGCTCCTAGTGCTCTTGGTAAAAATGAGTGTGAAAACCATGTCTTTGGATGGACACTATTGCTCTCATTTTGATTGTCATCAAGTCCCTCCAGTAATACCTTTGCTTTATCAATCAACTTGAACTTTCTCTTTACTGAGACAATGAGTTGCCAGCATGTGTCATAGTTGGAGTTTACCACGAAAGGCAACACAGCCAGAATAGTGGCCACTATAGTCCTCAGATTTCTGCTTCTGTTTTAGACATAACCTGACAGTCAAAAATTGTTTGTTTTTGGTTTTCATTATCATTGGAGGAACTAATAATGCAAAGACTGCTACAAAAGTCAAGAAGAAGATGTGTTGTATAAAATTTTACAGAATATACAGTAAGTGAAATGGAGAGAAACTTGCACATACCAATTCAGGATAGTGGCCACCCCTGTGGAGAGAGGGAGGGAAGGAAAAAAAAAAGTCAGGAGAACTTTAACAGCCTCTCTCAGGCCAGTACTTTCCCTGTCTGTTTTCATACATTGGTGATGTTCTTACTTTTACATGCTTAAAAAAAAAAAGAATAATTTTTGTGACATATGAAAATTCATATTGCAGTGTTTGAACAAAGTTTTAAATATTATTAATATGGAAAACATGCTGAAAAATTGAACTAAATGTTTACATATATTTATTTTTAGCATAGGGTCCATTGGCTTTTTCAAAATAATCCTTATTCTTTACTTTAGGTTTGAAATGTTTCGGAGGCATAACTGTTTTAAAGTTGAATATATGTCAAAAAATTAGCTCTACTCCTAACCTTGAGTTCTACTGACTTAATATAGCTCCTGAAATAATCCATATTGCCACTTTCTTTGGTATCATTCCAGAGATCCTCTAAGAAAACGTTGTTTAATATAGAACCACCAGATACATGAGGCTGTTACACCTTATAAAATGGCTAGTTTAAAATGGGATGTGCTAAAAGTATAAAATAAAGAAGTGAGTTTCAAAGTTATTATAAAAATAATGCCAATTTTTTCATCACTAGTGCATTTTTCATTAATATGTTCAATTAAATATATTAGTAAAGTTACTTTCACTTATATCCTTTTACATCTTTAAAATGTAACTACTGGAAAATTGAAGAAATTAATTACTTCCACTGTTGATTATATGGTCTCTATCTTCATGAATTTTTAGTGACTAAAATGTTCAAATTGTAAGTACTGTGCTACATGAGGTAAAAAAGTTGTGATATTTATGCAAATATATTTGGGGTAATTTACCAAAGTTTACAGATTCCAAAAATATCATTTTCCTGGAGGCACCTTCATGCTTTCCTTGGTAGCACATATATAATGTTCCTTGTTTTTTTTTTGTTTTTTTTTTTATCAGAAATATCGCAGTACATCTGCTGTCAAACTTGGTTGCACATGTTACCTAGCTTGAGTTTTCTAGGAATAGAAATTCTTAGTCCAGCATTAAATCTATTCGTTTTTTAATAACTACATTTTTTAAAATAAGATTTAGTCAGGCATGACAATCATGGTTATAATGTGGTTTTTATTTTTTAAAAAATGAACGTTTTATTACATGAGAATAGAATGTCATTACCATCAGTAAATATATGTATGAATTGAGCAATAGACTTGGTTACTGAAAATTTCAATCTTTTCTTTTTTTTTTTTTAAAGATTTATTTATTTGTGCATACAGAACTGGGGTACAGGCCAGAGGCTCAGGGGCGGCGAGAGGCTTCACCAGAAACAGAGAGGGGAACAGAACAGGCTGACTGACGAAGTACACTGCTGAGGGGAGCAGCGGGCGGGTCAGGAGAGGTCTGCCACGCCATGTGGTCACCTCCGGGGCAGGCGGGAATCGAACTCATGAGGAAGCGGCTTTAGATTCTCAGTGCTGTGCTTTAACCCGCTGCGCCACCAGGGAGGGCCTAATCTTTTCTTTTTTAATGTTTGTTGATAAAGAGATAATTTATTGTATCTCAATACTCTTGAAAATAAATTAATAAAATCATAGAAATTAATTTGAAATGCATCTACATAATATTCTATTCATTTTCAGATTAATTTCTTAAAGAATGAAGTGGAAAGAAAGAACAAAATTATCCGAGATCTCCAGAGTGAGGTAAGACTTATAATACTGGAAGAATTGATCTAAATCAAAGAATCAACAGCACATACAGATTAGACAAGTTTTGAAATGTTAATCATGTGAAAATAGGCCTTCAGTTGTGAATAATGGAGGGGATTTATATATTAAGAATTTGTGTATATATTTGAGAATGTTATTGACATCTATCTCTTCAACTTACTTTCCCTTTTAATTGCATTTTATTTAAGTTAATATTAGATCTCAATTTTCATTACATAAATTTGCTTGTTTACCAAAATGATATTACAGGGACAAAAGAAATAAGCTAAGAAGAATTTGACTTCATGCTTGGAAGAGCCTTTCTGTAAAGAATGATTAAGTAAAATATTAGTGCAATTTTAAAACAACATAGAGCTGAACATAAATAATCTATAAACACCTGCATTTATATTTTTTAGAATATAAGGAACATATGAAGTGACTATACTTGTTTTCTTCTTTATCTTCTTGCAATAAAGTAGTTATTTAGTGAAATTTCTCTAGTAGGTTTCTGTTTCCACCTTTTAATTTGTTTTTAAAATGATTAATTAGAACTATTAAACCAATACTAATTAATGGTACATCTTCTTTGATCAATTCCACTGATTATGGTTATTTTAGATCCCAAATCAATCGCCTTTATTAATTTGTCTCTCTTTCCTTCCTTTCCTTCTCTCTCTCTTCCCTCTCTTCACACACTTTCTTTTTAAATTATTTTGAGACATTCAAATAGCATAAGGTACATTTACTCCTAAGTGGTTTCTGCCTCAATGTCAAGGTCAGAAAATAGATTTTACAAATACTTTAGTATCAAGATTTAACATCAGATTTTATATCAGACTTGCAAGGAATGTTTAGAAGAAAGCAGAGGGAGAAAAATTTTAAATGATGTTTTGATGATTCTACTGTATTTTCATTTCTCTTACTTTTGAAATCTTTTTAAAAAGTGTGATGAAGTGTGATATGTGGATTTGATAATGTATTCACTGAAGCCCAAATCTTCTTAGCTTTCCTGTTTATGGTGGAAAATGCCAGCAAACTAGAGTTCCCAGAATATGAAGAACACTGGATAAATTCTTTATCACTGGGACTAAGTGAAAGCTCAGTTGAGAGTCTGAGAAATCAGAAACTTCCCATGAATCACTCACAACAAGGGGTCACTTTAAAATAAAAATCATAAAATGGAAAAGCTATTATGGCACACAAAAAGCATGAACACACTTGATAATAAAGATAATTATGGGAGAATTCATCTCTATAAATATTGCATATTTATATGTAATGAAACATAAGCTAATTAACTCATAGTCTTATATATATATTTTTTGAATCACAACTAAGGAAGAAGCTATTTCATATAGCTTTTGGTTAGTCATACTAGCACATAAAAAGGCCTATATTTTGCTTTGTGGGGATACATTTGTAGTACAATATTAACTTTCTAAATGTGTAGGTTATGATATTTTTAAAAGATATTTTTTAAAGTTATGCAAACTTAATAATATCTGAAAATACGAAACAATTAAATTCACTAATCGTTGTTTTTAGTACATTAAAATATGTAAGATGGAAATTGATAATCGGAGAAAGCTTTTTACCTTAACAAAACCCAAAGGTAAACATACATAATCAAATTAATGTATTTATTTTGACTTTGTGTTGATTTCTGTATTTTTTAGATTTGTTATTTGGGCAGATTATTAATATATAAACATAGAGGTAGATTAGTTAAAAATAATTAACCCCATATCTATAAAGGAAAATGATATGTAGAAAGCCTGGAAAGCTTTCACCTCATGAGAATGAAAAGATACAAATACATTGATTGAGCAAAATGCAGAGAGCTAAGGAAGATAATACAGGTATAAAAAGAATTCTGAGAAAATCTAAAAATCTCTTGGTTGGTTCCTTCTCTATGAGGGTATGGAGGATGACCTTGCAGAAAAGATTTTTGAAAGTTATTAAAGAATAATCAGCATATTTTTCATAAGTAAAGGCAAATATATTAAAATTTTTCATAACTAAAGGCAAATATATTAAAATTTACTTTGCATTAGCAACTACTGATATCATTTTTAAGATATAAGATATCCCTTAAAGGTAGAAAAACTATTAATGCTTTATTTTATTTATTTTATTTTATTATTTTAAGTGAATATTCTTTAGGGCAGAAAGCACCTTGATTTTTTCCATCTGGACAGACACACCTGAAACATTCCAAGCACTTTTTGCACCAACGTGTTTGTCTTTGTCTATCATCACATGGCATCACTTTTAACTTGTGTCTTACAGTTACTTTTTTGCATAGAAGCTACATTTAGATTTAACTGGTCTCTAAGTTTCAGGTCTTGTTCTTTTGCTGTACTGTTTATATCCCCTTTCATGCAATATTCTTTTATTTATTTGTGCCAAATTTCCACATTAATCATCAGGAAATAGTGGAATGATGTCAGTAAACTTTAAAAGACTGCATTGGTTTATATATAGCTTTTCTTAACAAGTCATTAGGGTTTGAGGCAATCAGGGGAAAGTTTTATCAAGTTTCAGAGAAATCATTATTAATACAAGGACATAAGAATATATACAGAAGGGCCTCCCTTTAGAGCTTGTAATAACATTTCAGCGCCTTGAAAATGTTCAAGTAAAATGGTTTTTACTGTACCTCGATCACTAGCTAAGCTAAAAGAATAGAAAACAATGGTGAGATTCTTGTCCTGACTTAAACAAAAGATTAGTGAAAAATATACATTGGGGTTCAATATTATGTTTAATTAGAAGTCAATTATCTTCAGTATCTACATCTCAAAAGAGAAAACTAAATCATAAAAGTAAGGCTATAAAAGGTTGGCGATGGTTCTTCATATAAATGCTGTAATATATTAAATTGTGGTTGTATTTGTTAATATGCTTTGTCATTTTGCTAATACTGTGTATAAAATTGCATTATAAATAACCTTCCCCAATTATATATTATTTCCTATATGCCATACAAATGTGCAGAATATCAGACTTCTCACAATGCCAAAATTGATTTAGACATGTTCCAATTTTCTTTAATTCTGTTCATTTTTCTCCTAGAGTAAAATGAGTTTGTCTATATTAGCCCTAGATATAAGAAAAATCAAGAAAGAAAGTATGATAATATTGAATACGTAGATATATAAATTAAGCAGTGTAACAAGCATCTTTGATTAGTTGAAATTTCTTAATGAAATGTATGCATTTGACTTTTTGTTGAAGTTTCTTAATGAAATGCATGAGTCTGACTCTCTGACTTTTTAAAGGAATGTGTAGTTGGGAATACTTGATTGAGATTAAAACTTTTTTTATTGAATTATTGAATAGATAGAGCTGAACGGGAAGATAGAAAAAGGAGATAAAGAGAGGTGAGTAGGGAAGGAGGAAGTAGGGAAGAAAGGAAAAGAGGAAGGTTAACTTGGAGGAGAGATACATTTTTATCTCTGCCACTTTAATGTGGCTTGCTTTAGTATAATCTCTTATTACTGACTCTTTTTCTAAGACTTATTCAGGATAGTTTAAGGTAATGGTAAAGTCAGCACTCACACTAAAACAAATCATTAAAATCAGGACCCGTATATTGTGTTCACTCTGTCCGGGGATGAAAATCAAAAATTCCTCAAAGCTACTCTCTGAGTTGCAAAGTTTCCTCTCACTATTTCATTGCTCCAGAATACTTCCATACTAGTCTCTTAATTCTTTGATCATCTATTTTTGACAAGGCCCATATAGTTTAACTCAACTCTGAATTACTGATCTGCTTCCTTTTTGTTCCTCCTATGAGCTGATTTAATCTTTTTCTATAATATATCTCATTTTATTGCTGATGCTATAAATGCCTAGAAGAAAAAAAAAAATTGTCAGAGTTCAAATCACTTACCAACGTGTGGATTTCCAAATAATCCCAAATAACTATTAACTCATGTCCTGGAACATGAAGAAATAGAATATGGGTTCTTAGGAAATATGGACGAGTTGCTGTTCTTAGCTGTAGGAAAAAGATCCCTATAATAAAAAGAAAAACATTAAGCAGTATAAAGTTAAAAGTGCTGCATATATACATGTAGGCTGAGTTTTCAGAATAGCTCCGCAAACACACCCTAGAGGTGCTTGTCTCTGGCTTGTCTCAGGAACACTTCGGCCAGGATCTGGATGCTTCCACTCAGTTTGATGCCTTTTTAAACAGATTCCAAAATCACTCATCCCTTTCCTGGGTACAGCAAAGTAGGGATAACAGCTAACCTGCTTTCTTCTGCATGCACATGTTATAGGGATAGTATCTTATTAACAAAACTTAAATCATGTCTTTCCGTGAACATCAATAAACTTTGGAAATGCAAACTTTCTTTTGATCAACTTTGCTAAAGTTTGTTTTATCTTTTTGTTGTATATTTTTTGGCAACATGGAATTAATAATAGGGAAAATTTTGGTAAATGTGAAACAACACTCCAGACTTTGGTGGCTAGTACTAGCTACTTTTCTTAATAAAACATTATAGTCCATGGAAACTGACTTTGGATTGTGGGAATCACTGACTGAAGAGTTTGGAATATTTGGGAAATGTGTTCTGAGTACTATTCTATTATGCCTGTGTTTAAGTATATCATCTCACCCGATCTTATCATATATTAACATGCTTTTTGTTTGTATCATTTTCCAACTAATTGTTTACTCCTTGAATTGACAGTTTTGACATTCATGTAATTCACATTTTTTTAAAGATTTAATTATTTATTCATACAGAATTGGGGTACAGGCCAGAGATGCAGAGGGTGAGAGGATTCACCAGGGCACAGTGGGGCGCAAAACAGGCAGATCGATGAAGTACACTGCTGAGGGGAGCAGCAGGCGGGTCAGGAGAGGTCTGCCACGCCATGTGGATCTCCTCAGGGGCAGAAGAGGATTGAACTCATGCGGAAGTGGTTTAAGCTTCTTAGTGCAGTGCTTTAACCTGTTGCGCCACCAGGGAGGGCCC